TAGATGGTTATTATTATTAAGAGAGATAATTGATCCAGAGGCTAGGGCTTTGGGTTACACCCAGCCAAAGGCCCAAGGCCATATGCATAGAATGGGAGGGTAATCAAGGTGAAGAGATGAACCTGGAATGTCTTTAAAAGGATTATGTGTTTTGGATTATGTGTTTATCTGAATGTACTATGGCTATTGAATGTTCTCTTACCTGCTTGTACATTAGAAATGATTATGGGGTGTGGGTAACAGAGTGTGTAAGTCCGCCTTCAGCCAATACTTGATTGGATAAGTTAAAAGGGGAAATAGAATTTGCCCAGCAGAAACACAGGCTTTTGTTTTAAGCCCTGTGTGTAGAGAGTACTAGGACCTTAGGTAGAAAACCTGAGCCCCACCCAGTACTACTGAGGGAACAGAAGATTTGCATTTGAATAAGGACTGGAAAAGGAAAAAAAAAAAAAATGACTGTTTGGCTTTTTGCATTTCGAGCAAGCAGATAGGCTTTGGGTCCATCAAGGCAGGAGAGTCATGGTCCATGAGAGAAACCCCTTCCAGGACTGAAAGTTAAAGGAAGCCAGTGAGTAGTAGACTTGTATGTTACTTGCTCGTGACTACCTGGATCCACCTGAGTGGAAATGGGGGAAGTGCAGCAAAGAAGAAACAGGCTGAGTTTGGTACTCTTTGACCTAGGCCCAGGGGCTAGGGATGAGAGAAAGGGCTGGAGGGAGGCAGCATGTCTGTCCTGGCAGGATTAGGCCTTGGGTTACTGCTGGTAATCCTGTCTTCCTCTCGTGGGATTAGAGGAGATCAGAACATGTGGCCTCCTTGCCATTTTTGCAATGACTCAAGAAGACAAAGTGAAGTATTACAATGAAATATGCAAAGACCTGGAGTTAGAAAACCAAAAGGGAAGAGCACACCAGATTTTTCAAGCTGAACTGAGAAAAAAAATTCAAGCTTGAAATTGTAATATCGAAAGATTCTATGGACAAAATATTGAACAATGCAGGAAGCATCAAAAGAAGATGGAAAGAATACACAGAATCATGGTAACAAAAAGAATTGGTCAATGTTCAGCTATTTCAGGAGGTAGAATATGATGAAGAACCAATGGTAACAAAGGAAAAAGTCCAGGCTTCATTGAAGGAATTGTCAAAAAACAGGGCTTCAGGAATTGATGGAATACTCATTGAGATGTTTCAACAAACGGGTACAGTGCTAGAGGTGCTTATTCATGTATGACAAGAAATTTGGAAGACAGCTACCTGGCCAACTAACTGGAAGAAATATTTGTGCCCATTCCAAAGAAGGGTGATCCAAGAGAATGTGGAAATTATCAAGCAGTATCATTATTACATGCAAGTAAAATTCTGCTAAAGATAATTTAAAAATTGTTGCAGCAAATATTGACAGGGAACTTGTGGAAATTCAAGCTTTATTTGGAAGAAGACGTGGAATGAGGGATATCATTGCTGATGTCAGAGGGATCTTGGCTGAAAGCAAGATGTTTTATTGACTATACAAAGGCATTTAACTGTGTGGATAATAACAAATTATGGATAACACTATGAAGAATGGGAATTCCATAACATTTAATTGTGCTCGTGAGGATCCTGTCATTGACCAAGAGGCTGTCACTTGAACAGAACAAGGGAGTACTTCGTGGTGTGTCGAGGTTGTATCCTTTCACCATATTTATTTAGCCTGTATGCTGAGCAAATAAATCTGAGAAGGTAGAGTGTATGAAGAAGAACATGACATCAGGATTGGAGGAAGACTCATTAACAACCAGCGGTACATAGATGACACAACTTGGTTTGCTGAAGGTGAAGGGGGCTTGAAGCACTTACTGATGAAGATGAAAGACTATAGTCTTTAGTGTAGATTACACCTCAACATAAAGACAACAAAAATCCTCAGAACTGGACCAATAAGCAACATCATGATAAACGGAGAAAAGATGGAAGTTGTCAGAGATTTCATTTTCACTTGGATCCACAGTCAGCAACCATGGAAGCAGCAGTCAAGAAATCAGACATCTTGCACTGGGCAAGTTGGCTGCAAAAAGAGCAAAGATGTCAGTTTGAATACCGTGGTGCCCCTAACCCAAGCCATGACATTTTCAGTCTTCTCATATGCATGTGAAAACTGGACAATGAGTAAGGAAGACCAAAGAAGAGTTGATGTCTTTCAATTGTGGTGTTGGTGAAGAATACTGAAAATACTATTGACTGCCCGAAGAACGAACAAATGTGTCCTGGAAGAAGTGCTGCCAGAATGCTCCTTAGAAGCGAGAATGGCCAGACTTGGTCTCATTTACTTTGGCCTTGTTGTTACAAGGAACCAGTCCCTGGAGGAGGATGTCATGCTTGGTAAAGTAGAGGGTCATCGAAAAAGGGAAAGGCCCTCAACAAGATGGATTAACATGATGACACGTGGCTACAACGATGGGCTCAAGTATAGCAAGGATGGCACAGGACAGGGCAGTGTTTTGTTGTGTTGTTGCTATAAGTTAGAGCGGACTTAATGACACCTAACAATAGCAACACAATTCCTGTCCCTCCCTAGTCCCTCGTAACCACTAATAAACTTTAATTTCTATGCATTTGCCTGTTCTAGATAATTGATGTAAGTGAGATTATACAATATTTGTCCTTTTTTGACTGACTTATTTTACTCAGCATGGTGTTTCTTTTTTAAATAATTTTATTTTGTGTTGTTGAGAACATACATAGCACAACATATCCCAGTTTAACAATTTCTAAATATATAGTTCAGTGACACTGATTACATTTTTAGAGTTACGCAACCACTCTCATCCTCCTTTTCAGAGTTGTTCCCCTCCCATTAACATAAACTCTCTGACCCCTAAGTTTCCTATCTAATCTTTCAAGTTGCTGTTTTAAATTTGATCTCATATGTTGTTCTTAGGTGCCTTTGAGTCAGTTCTGACTTACAGAGAACAAAACACTGCCTGGTCCTGAGTCATCCTCACAATCATTGTTACATCTGAACCCATTGATGCAGCCACTGTGTCCATCCACCTCATTGAGGATCTCCCTCTATTTCACCGATCCGCCACTTTACCAAGCATGATATCCTTCTCTGTGGACTGGTCTCTCCTGAGAACCTGTCTAAAGTATGTGAAATGAAGTCTCACTATCCTCGCTTGTAGGAAGCATTCGGACTCATTCTGGCAGTCATCCATAGAGCATGCATGATGTTTTTGAGGTTCATCCATGTTCTAGCTTGTGTCAGGACTTCATTTCTCTTTATGGCTGAATGATACTCTACTATATGTATATATAGTCTCTGGGAGGAACAAACAGTTCATGTGCTTGGCTGCTAATGGAAAAGGTTGAAGGTTCGTATGTACCCAGACGCTCCTTGGAAAAAAGACCTGGTGACCTACTTCTGAAAAATTAGCCATTGAAAACAAGTTCTGCTCTGACACATGGGGTCTCCATGAGTATGAATAGTTCAGCAGCAGCTGGTTTTAGTTTCTTTTCAGCAGCTCAGATTTCATGGGCTGTATTATCTGCCAACCTCACAGGGTAGCAGAATGTGGGTGTTTGTGTGCCCATGGGTGATTCTGCATAGCTGTTCCCTCTACTCTTCCATGCTTCCTATCTTGATGAACTCCCAGGTTCAAAGCCCCACTCTCCATTTCACAAATTGGAGAAACCAGGGCACTGGGAAAGGGATATAGTCAACTTCCTATCCTCCCTTATTTTGGTTGCTATTGTGAATGGAATCCTTTTTTTTTTTTTTTTTAATTTTATTGTGATCTGGGTGAAAGTTTACAGAGCACATTAATCTTCCATACAGCAGTTCCCATACACTGTCTCATGACAATAACTGCAATCTCTCACAATGCAACAGCTCTCCTCCCACCTCCTCCCCATAGCCACTTCTCCTAGTCCTTCCCTCCCATGCACTTCTGCCTCCCCACCCCCTAAGCTGTCTCCCTGTGCATACACAGCCCTTCTATTCTCCTATGATTGATGTAGCATTGATTGTGAGGATGGCTCAGAACCAGAACCAGGCAGATACACTCCTCTCCAGGGAGTGTATCTACCTAATGTAAATGTTGAGCTCATTTACCTGTCTTTTGTTTGGCTGGAAGCCACAGAAGTGGGTTCAATCCTAGACCTGAAGGGCAGCTAGGGGCCATAGTCTCAGGGGTTCCACCAGGCTCTCTCAGACCAGGAAACCTGGTCCTTTTTTATTTTTATTTATTTATTTTTTTAATGATTTTGAGTTTTTTTCCATATTGTTCTTCCTAAATGGAATCTTTTTAAAAATTACTTCTTATAGCTCTGTGATCCTAGGATATAGAAATACAATTTATTTTTGCTTACAGATCTTTTTTTTTAAAATATTTTATTGTATGTTAGGTGAAAGTTCGCACAGCAAATTAAGATTCCTGTTTAATTCATATGCAGATTGTTCTGTGAGGTTGGTTATAATCCCCAGAGGTTCCTATTTTCTTGCTGGCTATTAGCTAGTAGTCACATTCATATCCTAGAGACTGCCCTCAGGTAGTTGTCATATGGCCCTGTCCACAACATGGAGAATATTCTTTCTATACACAACATGGCAGTGTACTTTTCAAGCCAACAGGAATGTAGCTGGTGCTGTTTCTTATCTGTTTTAAGGGCTCATTTGATTAAGTCAGTCCCACCCAAAATAATCTCCTTTTGATTAACTCAGAGTCAGCTGGTTAGGGACTTTAATTACATCTGCAATTTTTCTTTTGCCTTGTAACAAAATCTTAGTAGTATTATCTCATCACATTCATAATCCTGTCCACACTGAACACTCTCCTTTTAAAATTGAGAATTAAGCCCAATAGAGGTATTTGCCCTTGACCTACAGACCTGCTAGAAGTGGGGAAAATAAGAATTTTTAATCAGAAGTGTCATCTTCCTGAAGTCATCACTATTAGACTGAATTTAGAAAAGAAAAATATGTTGCTTAATGACCTCTCTTCTTTCTTTATGTTGTAGGTGTGGTATCGTTAGTAGCTGTTCATCCTTCTACAGTAAATACACTTGGAAAACAACTCCTGCCAAAAACCTTTGGACAGTCCAATGTCAACATTGCACAGCAAGTGGTAAGGAGCCTTTTGACAAGGATTGAGCTGTAGCTATCCTGGAATATGAGTTGAGGTCTTAATGGATAAATCAGGAGTAGGGTTACTTTATATGCTGTTACTGCCCTTGAGGTTCACACTAGTCCTCAAAAGTTGTAATGTTTGAGATCATTTCCCCTTCCTGTCAGGATTCTTCTCACTACTTTCTTTCTGCTGAATAGTTGACAGTACTAGACTTTTTACTTTTTTCCATGAAAATTATTGTTACATAGGTAGACATGCCATCTATGTCTGTAGAGGTTTATGTTCTCAAGGTGCTTCTGTGTACTTTTCTTGTTTGCTTCTTCAAATAACTGTGCAGTTGTGAGTTGGGTATTTGAGAGGAACCTAAGGCAAATCATGAAAAATTAAGAGAACAACCAAAATCTCAAGAGAACTGTGCATGGTGGTGACATGCATGTTATAAGTACCCAAGCACAAACTAGAATCAGAGCTTCTACTTCCTTCACCCATGTTTTTACCACTGGCCCCCTCTCCCTGCACACAAGTTCCCTTGTGCTCAACTAGGTTCTTGCCTGTTTTTTACTCAATAGACCTAAACTCGTAGTTAGCCAGTTGGCTTTGGAGTAAAGAGGAATGGTGCTGCCAGTGGAGAACTCGTCTGTGCTGTGCATTCTGCCTTTACTGTTCTCAGGTGATGCCCTTGCAGTATTGCTTTGGGGCATCTGGGTCGTAGGAGCAGGGCTGTTAGGAGACACATTGAAAAGTTGCCATTAGTCCAGTAGAAGCAAAGAAAAAGGCAGGTTGTGATGTGTCAGCATGTAGTAGCCCTTGGTGTCAGTCCTCATTTTCCTTCCCTTAGTAGTTTTCAGTTTTTGCTGTTACTAATGCTGTCTTTTACTGATGTGATTTGCTTTCTTTGTACCCTTTGTTTTTTTCTCTTCTCTGATGGGTTCTAGATGTTGGCCTATCAAAGACAAGAAATATCCCAAACAGAATTCTGCAAGAAGGGGTAGGGAGGAGTAGGGTGGTTTATGCCTCTAGGTGTCAGAATCAGGACTCCTCATAGGTACCTGGGGTTTACCCAGTGCAGATTCCATGTATAACTAGACTATTTAATGAAGATTGTATGTGCATAAATGCTGACAAAGGATGTTATGGGTTTACAGTTCTTCCTCTGATGGTGCTCCTTTGCTACTAGTGGCTAAGGGTGTTGTGTCTGGTGCTTGGGTGTGGATTTTTGCTGCTCTGGTCCCTCTTGATCTAGTCAGTGCTGGCCTGTGTATTTCTAGCTTCAGGGCCTTTTCTGCCAAGTCCTGGCCTTTGTGGTGGAAATGAGTGCCCTTGTAGCAGCCTCTGTGCTTCTCTGCCTCTCAGCACTCTGCTCTGTAAGAAGGCGCTGCTGCACTCTTGTCTCCAAGCCGCCCCCTGCTCATGCTCATGATGCTGTACTCTCTTCTAATAAACATGTGGCGTGACATCCCTTTTGGCGGGAAGAGAACCTTTGTTTGGAGTGAGAGGCAGAACAGGGTCCTTGGAAGCTCCAAAAGCAGTACCTTTGCACTGAATGTTTTGGGATTGTTTGTTACTTTGTTCAGTTTATTTTTTTTTTACTCTTAAGTTTGGTGGGAGAGCGTATCTTTTCTGTGTAATAATTCTTTTTCTTTAGGGAACAATTACTGTACACCACAGATATTTTGATCATTTTTATATTTTGGTATTTATTTTAAATCCCTCCGCACTGTTTTCATTTTGTTTAATTGTACTTGCATTTTTCTAGACCCTTATAATGGATTTTTATATTGATTGAATTTTAAGAGACAGCTCCTTTACTGCAAACAGCTTTCCAGTGTGCATTTAGAACCCTGACCTCTAGAGTTCAGCCTATGGGCCTCTTCCATCCACTGTTGGTGATTATCAGTACTTCTCACTCCGACAGGACTCTTCATTAGTTGGAATTTATAATTATACAGCTAGCATAGCCTACCAAGAAGAGATTAGTGTTCAAATCTTAGCTTTCCCATTCATAAGCTGTGCTACTATCCTGGTGACCAGTCCCTTGACAGTAAAATGTGATAGTATTTGCTTTGCAGGATCATTGTGAGTCATTGAAATCTGTAGTATGTAAAAATCCTAGCGCCATAATAAATGGCATTTTACAGGTTTTCAATAAGTGTCATTTTGATGTAAGCTGAAAATTCCATTTTCCTTTATGAAAACATACCGTTTGATTTTTATAGCCAAAGTGTACTATATTATAGCAGAGTTTAGCCTGGGGGATAAACCTTGTTAATTATACCAACAGTTCTGTTTAATTTATCAGCCTGAAAGTTAAGAATGGTTTGAAATAAGATGATTTGAGTTGAGAATAAAATGGCTATTTTTATGCCTCACAAAATCCCTACCAATTAAAACTTGCAAGCTACAAATCTCTCTTAAACCTTTTTATGTACCAAAGGTTTTAAAAAAAGTGAGATTGGTTGACTCCAGTGTCAGAGATGAGGTTTTAATCCCTATGTGAATGAAAATGTACCGTGGGGGTGAGGAGTGCTCTTTAGACTTTCATTTGTTTAATCAGTATTCAGAGTGCCCTCAGTTCATAGCCCAGATTGTGATTGTAGTCACTGCTGGAAATGAGATGCCATCTTGAAATTGCCATCCATGTCATGCTTTGTTGTTTCTGTTAGTTGCTGTCAAGTTGATTCTGACTCTTGGTGATCCCATGTGTGCATAGAAGAATCGCTCCATAGGATTTTCAAGGCTGGGACCTTTGGGAAGCAGATCCCTGGGCCTGCCTTCTGAGACACCTCTGGGTGGATTTGAACTGCCAACCCTCTGGCTAGTAGTTGAACGTTTAACCATTTGTGTGGCCCAGGGACTCCTGTGTCATTCTTTAGAAGAGTCTTACTTCTGAAGCACAGATTTTTTCTTTTTTTAAATAAACCTCTCATATTGTGAAATATACCAAAAAAACCCACTGCCATCAAGTCGATTGTGACTTATAGCAACCCCCAGTGGGTTTCCAAGGCTGTAAATCTTTACGGAAGCAGACTGCCTCATCTTTCTTCCATGGTGTGGCTAGTGAGTTTGAACCACCCACCTTTTGGTTAGCAGCCAAATGCCTCAACCACCACATCATCAGAGCTCCTTAATGCTGGAAAGGGGAGGTAAAATAGATAATACTTTCAAACCTTAATGGTACAGCTTTAGAAAAATAATTGGCAGAGTCAGGATTCTTAGAAATGTCTATACCCATTCAATGCTACTATTTTGGAGAATTTATTCTAAGGAAATAATTCTATATGTTGTAAAACAAAACAGAATGTATGTAACTCATTGAAGTAGATATCTGTGTAACCACCCCCTAGTAGTAAAAAGAATACAGGAAACATCACAGGTTGTCCCTTTATGCTTCTCCCAAGTACAGCTCTTTCCTCCTGCAAAAGATAAGCACGAACCAGATTTTTATGGTAAAAACAACCTGTTCTTAATAGTTTTACAACCCTGACCATAGCTCTCTATACATTGTAGTTTCCGTTTGTCTATTTTTTATATTCTTTGTATAAATGGAATCCTACAGTATGGTGTGTATATTGAGAGATTTTAATTTCAATTTTATAGCATTTGAAATTCAGGTGCAAACATTGCACCCTGTATCAATAGTTGTTCCTTTTTCCATAGACCAGATTTAGGAAGCGGTAGACTTTAAAAAGGAGCTCTGATGGTGTAGTGCCTAAGGCGTTTGACTGCTAACCAGAAGGCTGGCCGTTCAAAACCATTAGCCACTCCTTGGAAGGAAGACTGGGCTTTAAAACATAGGTGTTTGCTTTGGAGGCAGAAAGATTGGCTTGCTGAAGGGGAGGGAGAAGCAGAACATCCTATATAAGATTGGTCAGGTTGGCTTTTAGCAGGCCTCTCTGAGTTCAGATGCTCAGAGCACACACTTCTGTTTTCTTAGGGTGTCAGTTCTTCACGAAGTGTCTTCAAGCAGCTATGTAGGGTAGTGGGAATTATAGGAGCTCTGGAGTCAGGAGACTTGAGTTTGAAATCAGTCTCTACTACCACTTCACAACTGGTGACCTTAAAAGAACCCAAAAACCAAACTCACTGCCATCGAGTCAGTTCCGACTCATAGCAACCCCTCCTTGGGTTTCCGAGGCAGTATCCCTATGGAAATAGATATACCCAGTGTTCCTTCTGAGGAGTGGCTGGTGGGTTTGAACTTCCAGCTTTCTGATTAGCAGTCAAATGCCTTAGACGCTTGTTGTTGTTGTTATTTGCTGTAGAATCAGATCTGACTCATAGTGACCCCTCCTTGGGTTTCCGAGGCAGTATCACTACGGAAGTAGATTGCCCAAGCTTCCTTCTGAGGAGTGGCTGGTGGGTTTGAACCGCCAGCCTTCTGGTTAGTCGTCAAATGCATTAGACACTACACTACCATTATTTACCTTCTCTGAACTTAAGTACACATCTGATCAGCATAATACTACCTGTTATCCAAGACTGCTGAAATGATTTAAAAAGTGACTACACTTAATAATGCTGAGTGAAATAAGTTAATCACAGAAGGACAAATATTGTATGAGTCCACTATTATAAAAAGTCAAGGAAAGGCTTACACACAGAAAGAAACTTTCTTTGTTGGTTACTAGGGATGGGAGTGGGAGGGGAAGAGAGGGAAAATTGCTAGCAATGTAAGAGGTACATATAGATTTGGGTGAAGGGAAAGGCAGTATACCAAAAGCAGATGACCAGAACAATCACTCTTAAGTAAAAGGATGACATGGAGAGATGCACAAGAGATATGGAAACAAAGGTAAATACTTTAACATACACAATGCTGTATTATCAGTAATAACAAACATTAATCCTATGGGTAGATACATAGGTAGACAGGCAAGATGATCAGATATGGCAAAGAGAATGTACCCATGACCATGTATAGGTTTGGTAGATGATATTTCTGTACACATACTTGTATGTGCTATAAAAATGTCCATATATATTCTGGAGCAAAGTAG